ATATAAAATATCACAGCCTCTCTGGGTAACAGCTTGACATTTCTTTAAAAAGCAAGCATGCAGGTCTCCCTGGAGGTACAAGTGGTTGAGTCTCAACACTATGAAGCTACCAGCAGTCACTGTAGCACAAGCAACCAGTTTGATCCCCAGCCAGGGAGGTGACCCACATGGTGCAGCAAATCTCTCCTGCCTTGCCTGCTGCTCCTCTCAGCAGTGTATTTCAGTAGGTCCTCCTGCTCTGCTCCCCACTTTGTCTCTGGTGAAGCCTCTTACCCCTCCCCAAACACACACCTGTGGCCTGTACCCCAGCTCTTCTATCTAAAAATATATTTAAAAACAAATTAAAGTAAGCATGTAACTACTTACATAAACCAGCAGTTATCCTCCTAGCCAGTTATCCTAGAAAAATGAGGACATGTTCACTACCCTACACATGAACATGCATAGTACCTATATTTGTAACAACCCTGGACTGCAAATGATCCAGATGTTTATCGGGGTGAATGTTTAAACCATACCATACCATAGAGTGCTATTCAGCAACAAAAGGAGTTAACTTCTTACGTTCTGCATAATAATGTTTTGGTCAATAACAGCATATGTGATCATGGTCCCTACACATAGTCTAGGTGTGTGGCTGGTTATACTGTCTAAGTGTATGTATGTATACGATAACATCTGCTCAATGAGGAAATGGCCTAATGATGCATTTCTCAGAACATATACCCATCATGAAGCAGCCCATGATTATGCTGATATACATAGAACAACCTAGGTGAAGCTCCGGAGATTTATGATGACTTTCTTTAAAAATCAGTCCCACGCAGCAGGTTAAAGTACAGCACTAAAAAGCTAAAGTCACTTCAGCATGAGTTCGATCCCCCCCCCCAGAGGTGACCCACATAGGGGGCAGACCTCTCCTGACCCACCTGCTGCTTTGTCAGTCAGCCTATTCTGCTCCCCACTCTGTCTCTGGTGAATCCTCTCGCTGCCCTTCTGGCCTGTATCCCAGTTCTGAATACATAAATAAATAAATCTTTTTTAAAAATTAAGAAAAAAGCAGCCCCAAAGGGTTATGTACTTATGACTCCATTTATATAACCTTCTTGAAAAGACAAAGTTATAGAAATGAAGAATAGAGTATGGTTGCTAGGGAGTAAGGGGTTGGAGGTGAATGGGGATGACTATTGTAAGGCAACATTAGGGAATCTCTTTATTGGAAATGTTCTGTATCAACATTAGTACCCTAGCTGTGAAACTGAACTATAGTTTTATGAAAGGTTACCATTGGAGTGAAAGGAATCTCTTTGTAGTTTCTTACAAATGCATGTTGAATCTATATCTCAAAACAGAAAGTTTAATTTTTTTAAAGATTTGGCCCTCCCTGGTGGCGCAGCGGGTTAAAGCACAGCATCGAGAATCTAAAGCCACTTCCGCATGAGTTTGATTCCCGCCTGCCCCGGAGGTGACCACATGGCGTGGCAGACTTCTTCTGACCCGCCCACTGCTCCCCTCAGCAGTGTACTTCGCCGATCTGCCTGTTCTGCTCCCCACTCTGTCTTTGGTGAATCCTATCACCCTCCACATCTCTGGCCTGTACCCCAATTCTGTATGAATAAAAAAATAAATCTTTAAAAAAAAAAGATTTATTTATTTATGCATACAGAACTGGGGTACAGGCCAGAGGCTCAGGGGCGGTGAGAGGCTTCACCAGAGACAGAGTGGGGAGCAGAACAGGCAGACTGACGAAGTACACTGCTGAGGGGAGCAGCGGGCGGGTCAGGAGAGGTCTGCAGCGCCATGTGGTCACCTCCGGGGCAGGCGGGAATCGAACTCATGCGGAAGTGGCTTTAGCTTTTCAGTGCTGTGCTTTAACCTGCTGCACCACCAGGGCGGGCCCAGAAAGTTTAATTTTCAAATACCAAAAATATTAAGTTTGGCAAAGGTGGGGAGAAACTTGTGTATACAGCCACTCTGGAAAACAGTTTGGCAACTTCTTAAAAAGTGAAATATGCACTTACCCATAATAAAAAATACCACTCCCGGGTTTCCCTGTAGAAATGAAAACCATGTATATGACACAAAAACCTGTACATACACAAAAACCTATACGTGAATGTTCATAGCAATTTTATTTATGACAGTCACAAACTGGAAACAAAGTGCCCATTAAATAAGTGTTGGATAAACACTTGCTGTACCATGGAATATTACTCAGCAATAAGAAAGAATAAACTATTGATACATATAATAATTTGCATTAATTTCAAAGATATAATGCTGAATTAAAGAAAAACGACCTTCAAAAATTACACACTATGTGAGTCCATTTAGATGGTATTGTCAAAAAAGACAGAATTATGGTGATGAGAGCAGATAGGAGTTATCAGGGGTCAGATATGAAGGGAGGATGTGATTAAAAAAGAATGGCCAAGACAGTGTGGAGCTCATGGAGCTGTTGTTGTGCATCTTGATTACAGTGGTGATTACACAAATCTAAATTTGGGCTTAAATTCATTGAATAGTATACCAATAGGGAAAAAAGTCAGTTTTACTCTACGATGATTATTTGTGAAGAGATCCTTTCCCCCTCATTAAAGCTCAGTGTCAGTGTTAGGTTTCGACTACCACCTGCTCCTTTGATTGGTCTTTTTTGTGTTTTGTACAACTTGTATAATCATAAATTTCAATCCTGCTAGGTTGACCCCAGAAGAGTGAACTGGAGATGTTTAAAGACTATGTAGGGAACTGTGAACTAATGGTAGTAAAGGATTAAATACCTTTTCACTTGCTCTGTACATAAATTTAATCTTGGGGTTACTTTCTAGCTTGATTTCTTTAGAAACTTGTAATGGTGAAATGTCAGTTGTGTTACCAGTCAGCACCGGTAATGACAAGTGAGCGCAATTAGCATATTCTGTTTGGAACAAGAGGACTGTGAATGAAAGAAAAAATATCCAGTAGTAAGTTTTAACTTTGGGCTTCTCTGAGCATAATGACTCTTGTAGTTAGACCTATCATTTATGGGGCCCTGGAAGCAACACTTTGGGAATTTACAAGAGATGTTGGTTCCTATTTGGGAACTCAGACTTCCAAAGCCCAGATGGCTTTGTGTGATCTTAACTGACTTGTATTTGAAGTGCCACTTGGATGTCCAAAGAGTAAACCGTAAACTGCAGTGTGTGTGACTTGTAGATGAAATATTAACATGCTGTGCTTCCTTTCCTTCGCTCATCTAAGAAAAACCAATGCCAAGTGAGGCCCATTGTAGTCATTGAGAAGGAAATGGCCTTGAGTGGGCACTGCCCACATAAAATTATTCAGGGGATTAAATTAAGTCTCTTAGAACTACCCTAGAAGAGTCAAGAATCTGGCAGGGAAAAATGGAATTCACTTTTTTCTTATCTTTCTAGCACAATATAAGTGTGTGTTCTGGGCAAGTGGCTAAGGTCTTATATACTGTCTATGGGTGAAAGGCTTTGTATCTTCCTTACCTTGGGGAACTTGCACGAGGCCAACATTTAGACCAGCAAGTAAGTCTCCAAGAAGCCAGTCTTTGAATCGATATAAACATACCCACTCTAGAAAGGGAAAGAGTGTAAGTATGCATCTTAGGAACTTTTGTGATGAGCAGCTGTGAGAAAGAAGAACAGAAAATCGATTAGGTTCTTCAGAAGCCTACCTAGCCAAGAAAAAGCATATTCATAATTTTCCTTCCCACAGCAAAGTTTCTTGTCAGTACTATCAACACTTCGACATATTGGACTAGAAATGTCTTTGTTGGGGAGTTGTCTTGTACATTATAGGATGTTTAGGGGCATCCCTGGTCTCTATTCATTAGATACCAATTGTACTCCTTCCCCCAGTTGTGACAACCAAAAGTGTCTTCAGATATTTCTTGGGGAACAAAATTCCCTTCAGGCTGAGAACCAGTGCCATATATATGACAAGAACCACGCCTTATAAATTCAGATTTATTTATGCACACAAGAACTGGGGTACAGGCCAGAAATGCAGGGGTGGTGGAGAGGGGCATGTATGTGAGAGAATTCACCAGAGACAGAGTGGGGAGAACAGGAAGATTGACTGAAATATACTGCTGAGGGTAGCACCGGGAAGACAGGAGAGGTCTAATGTGCCATATGGATTATTCACCTCCCTAGCAATTGGGTTCAAACTGCAGTGGCTGCTGACAGCTAAATAGTGCTTTAACCCCTTGCACCACCAGGGAAGGCCCTATAGATCTATGTTTTTACAGAATGTTTGGAAAGAATGAAACCTACTAATTTTCCAATAGAAAACAGACATTTCTGTTTTCTTTTGGTAAGCTGTTTTTTGAGATGTGGTTACAGGGGCAGCTAACACATTCACATCTTTCCCATATTCTAGAATTTTTACCAGACAAATTTTATGTGGTTTTGACCTGTCATATGCCAAAATTTATAGAAAATATAGGATATAGTCATGTGCTTGAGTTAGTCATGTAAAGAAAGGGCAGTAAAATAAGATTTAATATTCTTTAACCCAGTGGCTATCAGCTGGAAGCAGTTTTGCTCTCAGGGAACAAATGGCAGTGTCTGCAGACATTTTTTATTATCACAACAGGCATCTAATAGGAAAAGTCCAGGGATACTGCTAAATGTAAATGAGAGCTTTCAGAAAGAAACAACTTTCTGATTCAAAAAACATCAACTATACTGAGATTGAGAAAATCTACTATAACCCTTAAATTACCTAAAATAGCAGAATCATCACTAATCAATCAATTTATTGGTTAATCAATTAGCAAAACGAATTTTGTTTTCAATTGCTTTTTGCTATTTCCAAGTTAGTATGAACTGAAAGCAAAAAGTATGAATATTTTTCACACATGTTGGCAGCTTACTTGGGATTTGACTACATCAACCATTATCATTTTAGCATATAGAAGGCCAGAATGTGTGCTCAGAAAAATAAGTAATTTTCCATGTGTTTGACTCTCACAAATAAGAGCATTATTATCCCTAAGTTAGTTAGGCTCAAGTGTGACTTTGCCAAAGTCACAGTAGCAAATGTGGGCAGAGCTATGGCTAGAAACTAGGTTTGTTATCCACTCTTTTCCTTCACTGTTTGTATTGATAATTGTTATATTCTGCTCAGATGCCAGGGAGAAATATCACATTGCTACTTTATGAGACCCTCCATGGAAGGCAGGTGCACAGAGTTGCCTTCTCTAGTTATGGGCCTCCTTGTGGGAGAGTGGAGGATGGCACTGGGCAACCTGTTTTGTCACCTGTTCCAGTCTCTCCTCTTCTCCATGTGCCACTTGGCAGAAGACCAGCCACCCTAGGGACCCTCAGAAAAGTCATCAAAGCATTTTAGCATAGAAAAAGATAAAACTGATCTAGAAGGATGAGGATCTCAGTCGGAAAGTAATCAAGTATGTCTGAGGGAGGGGAAGGTTTCAAAGTGATAGCAATTCAAATGGATGGGGAAACATAAGCATTTCAACGTGAATTTGGATTTCACTTAAGGTATCTGCAAGAGGGATTTATAACAGTTGATGAAAAAGCACAGAGGATATTTTACTTGAAGGATAGTATTTGCAATTGCTAAATAAGAGGGAGAAAATGAGAAAAGAGATGAGGTTTTCTGCAGAAAGGAGGAAATGCAGTTCAAAGAAATGTTTTTTCTCAACTAAAAATACCTCACTTATATAGTGCTTTCTATTTGCAAGTTGCTTCAGTTATACTCTAAATCCTCACAAGCACCTTATGAGACAGGTGCTGTTATCATCCCCATTTCACAGATGATAAAACTGAGGCACAGTAGGGTTAGATAGCTTAACTGAGGTCATAGCTGGGATTCAGTCAGCCAATCTGACTTCTGAGTCTTGTTTTTAACCACTATGCTGTGCTATCTTTCAGGTTAAAATTCAGAAGTGGATATAACTTTATATTCTAAAAATAAGGAATAAGAACTGCTATAAAAACCCATGGGGGCCCTCCCTGGTGGTGCAGCGGGTTAAAGTTTAAGCCACTTCTGCATGAGTTCACTCCCCGCCTGCCCCGGAGGTGACCACATGGCGTGGCAGACCTCTCCTGACTCGCCCGCTGCCCCCCTCAGCAGTGTACTTCGTCGATCTTCCTGTTCTGCTCCCCACTCTGTCCCTGGTGAATCTTCTCACCCTCCACATCTCTGGCCTGTACCCCAGTCCTGTATGAATAAATAAATAAATCTTTAAAAAAAAAACCCATGGGAACAGAACAAGTCAGGTTTAAGTGCTCAAGGCTAGGGCAGGTGGAGGGGAGTTATGCTGAAGTTTCCTTGGGAATGTGTTTATATAATAAGGTGTAAATCTTATATAGAGACAAAGCCAGTGCAGTCCCCAAACGCCTTCTGGGACATGTGTCCTATGACCTATCCTGGAGCAGAGAACATGAAAGTAGAGAAGTAGGACCAGGTAGGGATATTCAAGACCACAGTCTGCAAAAAAGGCAGGCTGGAGATTGAGAGGGTTTCAGAGAGGGGAAGATCTGGAGGTCTTTCTCTTACCCAACACATGCCAATAGTGAGTGATTAAGAAAGAGATGAGAAGGATTAGTAAATTCAGAGGACAAGTTAAGTAACTGGGTTTCATATCAAGGTGTAGGTCACAAAGAGTTCTTTAACTAAAAGGGTATGGGCACCCCCAAGAAATGTGTAGATATAAACGTGGGGTATGTGAACATGGGAAAATTTTATCTTTATTTTCACTAACCTTCTAACTGAAATTTAGCATTCCCTGCTATTATAATAAATCACAATAGTATCAGTAGAATTTTACTTTGTTATCAATAGATATCCCAAATATTTCCTAATTATATTAAAATTACAACAGATATCTTAAAATTGCTGAAAAGTCATTTTATTTTCATTACTTGAAATTATTATAGTTACTAGATCCACATTAGTAAATAACATAACTTCGGAACTTTTCATATTTTGACAGTGATATATCAATGTAACTGTCTTATAATATGTATTTGATACATTAAAAAATTATTCTGGCCAAGATCATTCAATGGGGAAACTACAGTCTTTTCACAAATGAGATGTCCATGTGAAAAAAGAATTAAGTTGGACCTTTGATTTACAGAATATGCAAAATGGATCAAAGATCTAAATTTAAGAGATAAAACTTTTAGAAAAATGCTTAGGGGGAGCTCTTTGTTATCTTGGATTTCACAATAGTTTTTTAAATTATGACACCAAAATCACAGGCAACAACAACAACAAAAATAGATAAATCAGATCTCATTAAAATTAAAAATGTTTTTGCACCAAACATTTTGATCAAGAGAGTGAAAAAACAGCCTAGAGAAAGGGAGAGAGTATTTACAAACCATACTGGTAATCAGGGTTCAGAATGTATAAAGACAACCTCATTTTGAACTGAAAGAGAAAATAGACATTTCTCTAAAGAAGATGTAAATGACCAATAAGCATATGAAAAGATGCTCATCATCTTTTGTTATAAAGATGAAAAATGAAAATGAAAAAATACCCCAATGAGATACACTCAGACCTATCTAGAATGTTGTTAATCAAAGAAATGGAAAATAACAAATTTTGAACAGGACATGGAATAACTGGAACCCTTGTATTTATTAGTGTAAATGTATATTGATGCACAGAATTCACATATGATCCAACAATTCCACTCCTAGGGGTATATCTAAAAGTACTGGAAACAGATGCAAACAGATACTCTATGCAAATATTTATATAGCAGCATTATTCACAAAGCCAAAAAATGGAAACCACCCAAATGTCCATCAACTGGTGAATAAATAAAACTTAATACATGCATACAATGGAAAATCATCAGTCATAAACCAAAATGAAGTACTACCGACCCATGCTACAATACAGATAAACCTTGAAAATATTATGCTAAGTGAAAGAAACAAGACACAAAAGACAGAAGATAAATACAGCACTTGAAGGAAATCTCTGGAATAGACAATTTCATAGAGACAGAAAGTAAAAAAGAAGTTCCCAGGGACAAAGAGGAGGAGGAAGTGGGAAATAACTGCTTACTTTCTTTTTGGGGTGGTGAAAAAGTTTTGGGAACAGATGTTGGTTATATCCAAACTCACACAACCTCTCAAGGTGTTGTGCAAACTTGAGAATGACGTTCATGCTATTTTGTAGGCTCCATAGCGGTTAAATGGTCAATTTAGGTACTTTACCATAATAGGAAAAGTTTGAAATATTCTGAAAAGAGGTTCACGAGTTTTCCCATGGTACAGAAACGTCATAGCACAATAGGCTGAGCAGCCCTGGTCACAGTGAGTATCAGAGCCATGCGGGGGAGGGGACTGTATTCCTGTGGTGACATGGAGTGGACTGGAAGTGAGAGGGAGCTCATTCTGCTACTGTTCATTCCTTAGTCTACCGTGGTTGCTTTTTTTGTTGCTGTTGTTGGGAGACTGGTCCTGGTGGTTAACTGAACACTGTATTGGTTAGATGATATCCCTGTATAGTGAGTGGGTCATCCAAGGTCCTTATGCCTAAGAAGCTTACTTACAATAGTGAAGCTGTACAAGACAGACAAACCAAAAAGGCTTCAGAAAACGAAGAGTTCTGACGATAGAAAATCAGAGGAGGAAAAGAAGGGCTTGGTGCTGCTGAGCTTTGTGAGGGCAGAGCACAAACACACACACACAAACATGCACGCACCGGCACTGGACATGATGTCTGAAGGTGGTGATGTCGATATCCAAGTTCCTAGAGGAAGAGATCTTTGTTCTGTGCTGCTGTTGAAAGGTCTCCTCATTGTATACATCTCGCTTAACATCATACGTGAAAGAATTTATCCTGAGTTTAGAGTCAAAACTCTGGCTGCTCCTTTCTGCATGCATCATTTCTGGCTGAGTGGAGAGAGAATTTGAAAACAATTAGAAAAAAAAAAAAACAACCTTGCTCTTTGGCCCTTATTTATAGATGTGAAAATTCCAGTAATGATATATTTTATTTGCATAATGCATTACAGTTGTATAAAATTTTCTCATGTATTGTACAATTTTATACTCAATACCACCCTAGAAAGAAAGCAAGGTGTATCTTATTCTCATTTTTCAAATGGAGAAACCGATGGCCAGAATTTTTTTTTTATAACAGTTTATTTTTACATCATTTTGTACATTTTTTTTCATCTCAATTGAAAAACCTGTGGGTTTCAAATCAACAAGTAACAGGAATGCCATCACCTTAGGCCCGTGTGATCCCATTCCCCACTCCACCCCCACAAAAGGTCTCTGGTATATGGTTGTTCATTATTTTTGTTATTTTTTCGCCTGGTCTGATGGCCAGAATTTTAAAGTCTTGGCTGTTTAATAAGAAAGAGTCAGGATGAGAATGCAGGATGAGGGGTCCTGCTAGAACCCCTAGTTTTCTTTTCATTAAATTATGTTGGTGTGTTGCAGACAAATGATAGAAGCAAAAAACAATATTAACTATCAATTTTCACTAAAAGTGCTAAAAGTAGTCCTAATGTGTTGTAGCTCCTACTTTAAAATAGCATCCCTCATTAACCCTTTACTTTTTCCTTTTCTTCATAGCATTTGACAGCACCTGTCCACCTTGTCCACCTTGTTTCCTGCGCTAAAATGTTACTCTAAAAGGCAAGACATTGACTCTTCTCTGCTGTATCTCCAGAGCTCACACTAGACCTGACATTCGGTAGGCCTGTAGCAGATATTTCTTGAATAATTGTCAAGTAGAAAAAGCAGTTATCCTGTATGATATCAGGAAACTGGGATTCTAGCTTTGGCTGTTTTTCTAATTGGTTATATGATTGGGAGTAAGTTTCTTAAAAACTGAGTTTGTTTCCTTGTCCATAAAATGATGTGGTTGGACCATATGATCTCTAAGAGTCATATTAAGTTTCAAAAAAATCTATTTATCACCCCCTCTTTTCAGAAAAAGAAGGCATTAATGAGGATGGATAGAGATACATCTATGGGAGAAAATAAGCTTTTTTATCATCTGTGTTTTTGAAAACGAAACAGGCATAAAACTAAAATTCTTTGACATGAATATGAAAAAGGGTTTGTATGTATTGCATAGTCAGAAAATAAACACTCAAATTATGCATATTATGCAAACAGATCTGCAAAGAAGTTTTGCAGGTGAGACTGCAAACAAGTTTAATGTATCAGCAATTTTGTTTTTCCTTCATAATGATCATCTATTATCACCACTGGTATTTCTCCAGCACTTACTTTATAGCAAGCACAGCACGAAGTTTTTTTTTTTTTAAAGATTTATTTATTTGTGCATACAGAACTGGGGTACAGGCCAGAGGCTCAGGGGCAGTGAGAGGCTTCACCAGAGACAGAGTGGGGAGCAGAACAGGCAGATCGACGAAGTACACTGCTGAGGGGAGCAGCGGGCGGGTCAGGAGAGGTCTGCCACGCCATGTGGTCTCCTCCGGGGCAGGCGGGAATCGAACTCATTCGGAAGCGGCTTTAGATTCTCAGTGTTGTGCTTTAACCCGCTGCGCCACCAGGGAGGGCCAGCACGAAGTTTTTTTAACAAGTTATTTCATTAATTCCTATAACAATCCTTGCGCAGATGGCTCCTGGTTCTACTTACGATTTTTAAATTAAATTAATTTATATCTATTTTACATCATTGTTCATTTTGTACAGTGTTTGCTTTCTCTTCTCAGGTGTAGTCCCCATAAAATTCCCACCACCAATTCATTGACCCCCCATCACAATAGTCCCTTATGTTCTTCCCTACCCTGTTTTGATTCCTAGCCCTCCCTCTCCCCTGCAAAATGCCTCTGATTTATAGTTGCCTGTTAATTTGGGGGTTTTATTTATTACTATTTTTCTCTGCCCCCTTATTCGGTTCCCCAATATGCCTCTTACAAGTGAAAGCATCTGATATTTTTCCTTCTGACTTATTTCATCGAGCATAATCCCTCCTTGCTCCATCCAAGTTGTCACAAAGGCTATATCAAAAATGATATGCATTTGGTAGAAAAGGCACTGCAGAGTTTGCATTGAGACCTTTCCCCAGGCTAGCTGATAAAAGTTGTACGCCTCTCCTGTGAAGCTGAGTGGGGGCAGCAAGCTGCAGCTCCCAACCAGTCGTGTAATCACAAGAAAACTGTTTTTCATTTTCAGTGCCCTATTCAATATATTACATGTGTCAACATCTGACGGTAAACTTTTATTGATAATGTTGTCTAGTTGTAGGCATTCTGAGCATGGTTAAGGTAGGCTAGGCTAAGCAATGGTGTTCAACAGGCTAGGTGTATTAAATGCATTTCAACTTAAGATATTTTCTTTTTTTTTTTAAAAAAGATTTATTTAGTTATGTATATAAGAACTGGCGTTCAGACTAGAAGTGTGGGAGCGGGGTGAGAGGATTCACCAGAGACAGAGTGGGGAGAGGAACAGTGGATATACTGAAATTCACTGCTGAGGGTGAGACAGAAGAGATCTGCTGTGCCCTGTGGGTCAGCTCCCTGGAGGGGATTGGGTTCATGCCACAGCTAAGCTTTTAACCCCTGTGCCCTCGGAGGGGCCCTGTTGTCATACCTTCTGGAGGTACTATATCCTGTCAGTTCACCATGCAAGTAGCACTTGATTTCATTGCCTTCATTCTACATTAGTTGATTTCTCAAGAGAGGTTCCTACGTAGTAGACTAGAATTTGTTAATCTTTATTTTTCACAATTTTATAAATCTCGACCATATGCATTTTTGGCCTTACTTTGTTTCCAACTGGAGAATACGGTTAATCTGTGGTGACTAATTTAGTATCCCACAAACACTGGTGCTATGGGGATAAGAAAGAACAAGGATGCTACAATTTAGAAGACTAAACATACCAAAATATAGCTTTCAAGAGCTCAGGGATGGGAAAGACAGCTGTCCTGCCATACAGGAGGTTCTTCACATATATAATTTCAAGAGACAGGTACTATTTTCCTGATAATGACTATATGTACTCATTTTACAGGTGAGTTGACTGAGTTCTTCAGTTATACAACAAAGAGCAGAGCCAGAGTCTGAACCTAGTCTTTGATTCCAAAAGAGCTTCCATATGCTAAGATCATGTGGTCTCCTACCAAGTGGGATTAATAATCCCAGCCTACAGAGAGGAGAAAGGCCTCCTGAGGGAAACAGAATATGAGTTCTGCTCTGTCTAGCCAGGGAGAAAAATAAGGTTATTTCAAGAAGAGATTAGGATAAAATTAAAGAGATATATAAAGCCAGTCATTCAATAAATATGAGTTAAATTAGTGTTAAGTAAAAAAAAAAAAAAAAAGTAGGTTAAAGCCTGTCCCTGGAGTAGGGACTTGATTTCTATCTTGAACACACATATACTTTAGCTAGTTAAAGGATTTGGACAGGAGTAATAACATGCACAGACATGCTTTGGGAAGACAAATTGTGAAAGTGGTATAGTCTAGAGTTGTGCTATCCAGCACAGTAGTCACTGCATCTTTGTGGTTATTTAAACAAAATGTAATTAAAATAAAACCAAATGAAATATCCAGCTCCTTAGTCACACTAGCTACCTTTCAAGTGCTCAGCAGCCACAAGTTTCAGGAGCTACAGTACTAGACAGCACTGATAATATTTCCATAATCACAGAAAGTTCTGTTGAATAGTGCTAGAGAAAGGAGAGACTGAGGCAAAAAGACCAACTGGGAGTCATTAATATTACAGTAGACCAGGGGAGAGGTAACAAATCGTGACTCAAGAGACCACAGTCAGGATGGGTGGCAGGGATAGCTGGAAAGCTGTTTTTAAAAGGCTCGTCAAATCTCAGCTAAAGCAGCAACACATGATTTCTTTACATTTTTTTGAAGATTTATTTGTGCACACAAGAACTGGGGTGCAGGCCAGAGATGTGGGTGGTGAGAGGACTCATCAGAGCCAGTGGGGAACAGGACAGACAGATCCACTGAAATAAAATGCTGAGGGGAGCAGCGAGGAGAGGTCTTCTGTGCCATGTGTGTTAGCTCCCTGACCAGGGATTGAACTCATGCAGAGTGGCTGATGATAGCTTGAGAGAGCTAAGACTTAACACCTGCACCAACAGGGAGGCCCTAGATTTCCTTATTTTTAAAAAATAGTTTTCTGGGGGCTCTCCCTGGTGGTGTAGCAGGTTAAAGCACCGCATTGTAAAGTTCTTAAAAGCCACCGCAGCATGAGTTTGATCCTCCACCAGGGAACTGACCCGCATGGCGCAACAGACCTCTCCTGACCCTCCTGCTGCTCCCCTCAGAAATGATTTCAGTAGATCTGCCTGTTCTGCTCCCCATTCTGTCTCTGGTGAATCCTCTCACCCACCACACCTCTGGCCTGTACCCCAGTTCTGTAAGCATAAACAAATCTTTTAAAAAAAAAATAGTTCTCTGGAATTTCTCCAGCTCCTTATGCCTCTCTTGATTTCATAGAAACCCTAGTGGTTCATTTTCACACACTAGCAGGACCCTCCCCAACAAGATACAATGACCAGAAGTTCCTGCCGACAGACTGCAGGTGTACTGTGCTGTGGGTAAGACAAAGCATTTCAGAAAAAGGGTATCCAAACTGCACTAGTCACTTTTTAGCTCAGATAATACACCCAGGAGGAAGTCTTTATTACTGACTCTTGAAGGCATAGTCAATGGGGCTTCTGCACTCAATAGGTCTGACAGTGTGCTATGCTCTACCTATAATCTTAAAGATAAGTGTCCACAAAGGAAACATTTCTATGATGCTTCCTGCCATCACACACAATATTTAAGTGGGTGGACCATGGATCTGAACTACTTAAGGTTTCATTTTCTTATTCTACAAATGTGACATAATTTTGGGTATCTGAAATCACTATTAAGAGAAATTAGTTTAATCACT